TTAAATTAGCTCATTATCTCATTGGCCAACAAAGAAACCTTGACCCTAAGACCATGAATTTTGGAGGGTTCATAAAAGAAATATATTTTATAGCACAATCCAGCAGACACAGAGAGAAAGGTCATGGAACAATATTTATGCCTACTACATATGATGCACTCTGATATTTGATCATCTTTTCTATTTTCCAAAAGGGTATCAGCTACGATCTCCTAATTAATTTCACTACTGACTAGTGGGTCTCAGAGGCACCAATCTGAAAAACATCACCCTAAGAGACCAGAAAGTTCATGGAAAATTTCAAATATGCTTCACAAATCTCTTCAACCTTTTTTCTTTTGCATTTCAAGACACTGCAAAATAGAAGACAGTCCAGGCTATTTTTGGGGGGAAACAAAGCACCCCCGTGGGCATGTGGTATGTTGTGTGACAAATGAGAGGTTTTCATGTGGGGTTTTCTCTTGTGTTTGCTTGCTACAGCCCATTAAGTTTGTTGACAAGTAGGATTGTAAAACACAGGATCCTCTCTTAAGCAGGATTTTGGTGTCCCTTGCAAGGTCAGATCATACATCCCCAATCTCTTTTTGAGAACATTCAATAAGCAACTTCCTTCACTAAAGTGTCCCTCTCACATCACAATCCAGAAGTAAGCAAGCATGCGGCTTCAGGGCTGCTAAAACGAGAATGTGATGCCTTGATGCCTTTCCAGTCACGCACAGGTTTAAAATTCACACTGCCATTATCACCACCACCTCCCTCAACAAGGGAAAAATGTGCTTCCCATGCAGCATGGTACATGATTGTGTTCAACCAACATCTAAAACTAGAAAGAAACACAAAGGTCATCTGGTCTACCATCAGCTAACCTTCTCAGGCTCAAAGTTGAGCTCTTCCCTGTTACGCTACCACATGTTTGTGTGTGCAGGGCTTCCCCATGCATTGCTACTGCACAAGTTCTAGATGTTTCTTAACACTTTGGATTATAATATTTCTCCTACTTAGACCATATTTCCCTCAGCCATGCAAATCCCATCTATCTTTCCAGATCATATCCCCAGCCTCTAAGAAGCCTTTTCCAAGCTCTACAGTGACTGGCCATTCTTCTTTCTTCTCTGTAATAAGATGAAGTACACTGAGCTCCTGCGACCCTTTGCTTTTTAGATGCATAACAGGTCATATATATTCACTGGCTGACTTCCTAATGCTTGAAAGAGGTGGTTTACAAGAAATTAGTCTTCACTGTTTCTACAACATATATGTCAAGGAGTAAATAGAAAGGCTTAATTAATATTTTATCACGAAGATATTTAAATCAGGTAATCACTGTAAAAATATATTAAGCCATTAATTTCCACATAATCGGACCAGTGATTACACGGATGGAAGACGACAGCACTATTGATTTTTATCTAATACTGTCATTTGGGAGACATTAGTCTCAGCAATTGCATTTTTACATATATCAGATACAACAACCAAGGGCTTTCTCCCTAGGGAGATAGAGTGCCAGAGACTCAACTTTGACACTACACAGGAGTGCTGGCTCCTTTCTTTTTAAACACTTACATAATGTCCCAACACATACACATACATAGACACACACACACACCCCACACCCCCATACACTACTCCATGGAGCTCAACGTTGACTGATGTCCCCCAACACACACACACACACACACACACACACACACACATTCTGTCTCTCCCCTTTCTGTAACTCTGGTTACTTACTGTCATGATAAAACCACTGAATTTTACAATTTCTGAAGAACTTAAAGATAGTTAAGTTTTTTGTTTTTGTTTTGTTTTAAAAGATTTATTTATGCTTACAGAATTGGGGTACAGGCCAGAGGTGTGGTGGGTGAGAGGATTCACCAGAAACAGAGTGGGGAGCAGAACAGGCAGACTGACGAAGTACACTACTGAAGGGAGCAGCAGGCTGGTCAGGAGAGGTCTGCCACACCATGTGGGTCAGCTCCCTAGTGGGGTGATCAAACTTGGGCTTGCAGTGGCTTTGGAGAGCTTCATAATGTGGCACTTTAACCCATTGCGCCACCAGGGAGAGCCCAAAGATATTTAAGTTTTTAGTCAAGAAAAGGTGATCCTATGTGCTTCAGATCATCCCTATAGAAAATAACAGTTGAGACTAAAATCCAAATCTTTTGTTCTCTAAAGAATCCAGAGGCTGGAAGTCTAGAAACCTCATGCCACCTCATTCTTCAGTTTCACTTCCTCTGTCTCCAAATTTCCTGTCTTCTCTCAGGTCCTTTCTCTACCTACTGAGGAATTTCCTCTGGTCCTAATACCAAACTTCCTGCCATTAACCAATTCCCACAGACTGTTCTGTTTCAATGCCACAACTTCTCTTATCCTACTTAGAAATTTCACTTTTTCACATCTGCCAAAACCACACAACTCCCTTCTTTTAACCCCTGACATAATTATTGCAAAGGTACTTACAAAACAGAAGCTAATGACAAGGATTATAGCACAATATTGTTCCCTCCACGTAGGCTCACAGAAAACATTCATTTCATGCTGTACATAATACACAATATACTAAAAGAAGAAAGTTTTCTCTCTAGTCAGGCAAATGATTTCTCAAGCCAAACAGCCAACCAAATGACTGGATTTGCAAGTTCAGCAGCAGAGTTCCTTGACACTGCCAATAAATACCAAATTTTACTCATCATTATCCTCTCTAAGTCACAAAAAGAGTGAAAATGTATGAATATGAGCCCTCCAATTTTATTCCTATCTACATTCTTGTCAAGATAGTAAAAGAAGAATGAGTTAGTCAAAGCAGAAGAGAGGACGAAGAGACCAGTTTTAAAAAAAAAAGCCAAATAAGTCAAAATTACTTACAGAGGATATTAAGCATGTGGACTTTAAAGCCCAACTGGTCAGCACTGGTTTCACTATTAACAGCTGAGTGCCTCAGACACTGCTTAAACTACTCAGTCTCTTCATTTGGTAAATGGAGATACCAATAACTCCCATCTCACAGATCATAGCTAATATCTCAGAACACTCAGGACAATGCTTGACACATATTAAATACTACACACATATTTGCAAACTAAAGTAAATCCTCAATTTGAAAATATTTTAACAATCATAATGTGTCTGCTGTTCTCTAAGTTTTATCAGCAGTTTCAGGATCTAGAAATCTTGAGATGGTTTCTGTGCCACACATTTATACCCTGTACCCTCTGATTATTGTTTCCCAATCATTTATTTTATAATTTTTATTGCTTTCTTTTATATGAAGACTTGAAAAGAATATACTCCTCAATTTCTATCAGTCTCCATTCTGTAGCTACCTCCCCAAGAAACAGCCTCTCTAATATAGACAACAAAGTCTGCAAAACTACCTAAGTCCTTGTTTACTCATACATCACAAATTCCCCCTGGAGCCCAAGGCTGGGATTAGTAAACCACAGGCCATCTGTCATACTGAGAACAAAATGAAGGGAAGTTCTACCATGCCACATGTATCTGCTTGGTACAAGCAAAACTCCTCAGAGTAGTTCAAACTCACTCATTGTACTAAACCTTCTGCTCTTTTTCTTCCTTTTCTTCCAGTAGGGCTCTTAGCTATACCAAATTTGATCTTCTCAAGTTAAGACCTTGTGTGACTCCACCTCAGAGGATGATTAACATTGTTGATACTCCTTTCCTTGAGGCTTCTTGACCTCTAGGCCACCACATGTTTTCCTGATTTTTTGGGCTACTTCTTCAGGGGCTCATTAGCTGGTTGTTTCATCCCTTCTTTCATTCCTTTCCTTGGTGTTCCCGGAGCCTCCTTCCTCTGACTTCTCTATCAGAGTTGCCTCCATGGTGGGCCCAACCACTGTGGGGTTTAAAATATCATTTGGTCTCCTAGTGATTCTCAGAAATTCCCCAACTTGGACCTAAATCCTGAACCCCCAATGCATACATCTATGCTGATTCAATAACTCACTCAGATGTCCAATGGGATCCTAAACAGCTTTCCAAAAGCAAACACCTCACCTTTCTCCCAAACCTCATCCTTTTCAGTCTTCCTCATCCTGAAGATGATACTCCCCAACAACTCTCACTTTCCTTTACCCCTAATCAGTCAGAAATCCTATTGACTCCACCCTTAATGAACAACCAGAGTCCCACCATACAGTATCACCTCCCTGCTGTCCTGAAGTCCAAGTTACTGTCATCTCTCTTGAGTACTTAAATACCATCTTAACCAACGTTCTTGCTTTTGTCTTTGTTTACTGCAGTCTTTCCCTAAAACAGTGGTCAGAGACATACCACTAAAAGTAAGTCAGCTCATATTGTTCCCTTCCAATATTCACCTCATGCAGAAAAGCCAAAGCCCTTATGGTATCTATATGATCTTTATAATCTGGGTTCCCCTCACCCCATTCTACATTTCATCTTCTTCCTTTGTTCTTTATATTCTCTCACAACTGATTTCCTCACTTCAGGACTCCTGTGCTTGCTGTATCTTCTGCCTGGATCATCCTCCCCAGGCACCTACATAATTCTTCTCAAACCTCACCACCTTCACAATTTTTTCTGAAAAGTCATCTAGGTGAACTACACCTGTTTAGAACCCCTAATCTCCTATTCCTGCTTTACTTTTCTCCCTGAGACTTACTATCATCCTATTTTCTAATTTTTTACCATAAGGTTCATGATAAAATTCTATTTATCTCCATTAGAACACTTATTTTGTCTTTCCCTATTGAGTGTAAGGTCCAGACAGGTAGGAATTCATTCATGTTCACTCTATCTCACTGTATTCTTACTACACATCAGTGTTGTATATACTAGGTGCTAGTAAGTGCTCAGTAACTGTTTGCTGCATGAATGGGAACAATGGCTCACATGGTTCCTCTTACTCTATCTCACTGTATTCTTACTACCTATAAGTGTTGTATATACTAGGTGCTAGTAAGTGCTCAATAAATGTTTGCTGCGTGAGTGGGAATAATGGCTCACATGGCTCCTCTTACCTAATACAGTCATCACCGTCTTCATTAACTTCATGGGAGTCTTCCGACGACTGATGGACCCACTCGTATGTGGAGACAAGACGTTGGTTTTTCTCTTGACATACATGTAGATCCGCAGGTACACCACAACCATGATGAAGAAGGTCATCAGGTTGGACACAGTCCAAAAAATGAGGTAACTCCTGCTGTAAATGGGGGCCAAGGAAGAGCAGGAAGAGATGTCACAGAGGCAATTCCAGCCCAGTGTGGGGACCGCCCCCATAAAGATGGCAATGGCCCAGATGAACAAAATGAGCAGCGTCACTCTCTTTTTGGTCAAGTTGCTGTGGACCCGCATCCTCATGATTGACATATGTCTCTCCACGGCAATAACTAGCAAGTTGGTCAGGGAGGCAGTCAAGCTAGTATCCAGAAGTCCCTGGCGGAGAAACCAGCGGTTGACAGTCAAAGTTTTTGAAACTGGGCCAGTGTTAAACATCAGGAAGACATAGGCAATTCCAGCAAAGAAATCTGCGGCGGCCAGGTTAGCCAACAGGTAGTAAAAGGGGAAATGAAACTTTCTGTTTTTGATCACTGCCGCGATGACCAGAGAATTAGAAAAAAAAATAAACAGGCAGAAAAACGTTCCAAAACACAAAACGATAACCAGCTTTGTTCCTGTCCACTCATCGGCTGTGTCAGTGTTACTCCTGTTATAAAAAAAGTCCATGCGCTTATCATAGTGACACTCATTCATTGTGGAGAAGAACCGAACATCCTAGAAAGAAATTTAAAGAAGAAACAAATATCACTGTTTGCAAAATCATTCACTAAAACACCTATTGCCACTGCTAAGGCTCTTATTTGATCCACCTGCTGTTATTCCTGAAGGCCTGAAGGTCTTCTCTAAATGTTCCTTGCTCTGAGACACTAACTTCTGACCTCCCATCACAGCATTCATCTCACAGGAACAACTATTGTCTGTCCCCCACTCTAGGCTGCCAGCTCAGTGAGGGAGGGCATGTGTCCATGTTATTCATCATTGTAACCCCAGGACACATCACCCCCACCAGACTCAAGACAGGTATTAGCTGGCTACCTGGCAGAATGAGTAAATAATGCCAGCAGCAACAGATGCAATATTCTCAGTCCTGTGCTATCTACTTTCCCCTGTCTATTCTCCAACAATTACCACATAACACATTAATGCTTTATCTAGGTGGTCTCCAGGAAGAAATCAGTTCACTTCTTGTTGCTGTGTTATGTCCACTAATCAAAGGCAAGCTGGTAATGCCAGACATGTTCTTGTGAATAGAACAGAGTCAAATTACCCCTCACATAACCAAATGCTTCCTAAAGGGGTCTATTTTCCACACCTTACCCTTGTTTTGCCATCTTTTGGTTTCAAGTTACAACAGCAACATTCATTCCTTGTATGGTGCAGGACTGGAGATTTTGGTCTTAACATCCCTTCTTTATCTCTCTGTTCACATCTTTCTTGAACTCTTTTAAGCCTGACTGTACCAATGTGAATTTGTTTACTGAACTATCTGACCCAATCCCATCACACAGCAGGTGGTAGAAGGGTGAGCCTCCATGCAGCAGATAGATTTGGAGTTTGGGCAGACATCCAGCCTCATGTGAATGGCAGAACACTCCTGTCAAGTGAGAGGCTAGTTCTAGGAACACGTGTCTGAAAATACATTAAGTGGAATATCAGGTGGACAAAGAAGATCTTTCTATTAGGACAAGTCCACTTGGCTCTATGACTAAGGGAGTGTGGCCAATGAGGGGTTGGGCAGGGACTCTTAAGTGGGACAGCTACCTGCATTTGGTGGGATGATACAAGTGTCTCTTTTCACAGTGATCTGATCACAGACATAAATGTCTAATCTCAGGAGATTGGGGTTGACAACCAGGAAATCTATCATCTGGGGATAATGACCATGGGATCCCTCACGAGGGATGAGGTTGCACTTTATTCACTAGAGAACCAGAGATTCAGTCAGCCTAGGCAATCTGCAGCCCATTGGTGGGAATGAAATCACTCTAATAGCAAAAGTGCAACAGCAATCTCCGGGCTTTTAAGGGTCTTAGAAATTCTGCAACTCAATCGCACATCTAGACTCAGGATATGTAGATCAGATAACAATTTGAAGTAGGACAAAATAGAAATGCATCTCAGTCTTCTTTTTAATTTATATTTTAATGGTATAATGATATTTCTGTGAATTAGTTACTTGTTTCTCTGCCATAGCAAATGGAAGGTAAAATATCATTGTATATGCTTTAAATAAACAGGAAGGGATCTCAAGAGACAAACAGTTTCTAGTGCCTTTCAATTACAAGGAAGGGACACTCAATTTTAACAAAGACAAAACAAAAATTACTCTCTTTGCAGATATTCATCGATATTTAACAATAGTTATCAGGTAACTTCATATAATAAGCAATATATATGTGTGTATATGCATGTATATATACACACACACTACATTATAATTTTCCCAAATAAAAAATAAGATACATATGATTGTAATAGCTTAATAATATTCCAATATATGAGTATGTAAAAAAAGTACGCATTAAGAAATCCCCCCAAAAAACTTAATATATTTTCCCAATTTCCTTCTGAAGAGGCCTTAAAATTTTATTTTACATTCATAAATTCAGTTGAATTAAAAAACTTCAATGATTTTTGCTTCAAAAATTTTCAAATCCAATTTTGACCCATCAAAACCAATATGTAAATTTTAACACCCATTTTTTTTTTTTTAAGATTTATTTGTGCATACAGAACTGGGGTACAGGCCAGAGGCTCAGGGGCGGTAAGAGGATTCACCAAAGACAGAGTGGGGAGCAGAACAGGCTGACTGATGAAGTACACTGCTGAGGGGAGCAGCGGGCAGGTTAGGAGAGGTCTGCCGCGCCATGTGGATCACCGCTGGAGTGGGGACCAAAATCACGCTGAAGTGTCTTTAGCTTCTTAGTGCTGTGCTTTAACCCGTTGCACCACCAGGGAGAGCCCTCATATGTCATTATTTTAATTAAAAGTAATTTTACATAGAGATAGATAGGCAAAACACATACACTTATATAGGTATAAAGAGACCCATATAAGAGTGTGTCTTGACTATTTTTAAATAGAAAAATAAGGAAAAAATTCATCAAATGTAAACAGCTAATTAAAAATGGTGGCATTGTGCTTTTTAAAAAATTCTTTCCGGCCCTCCCTGGTGGCGCAGCGGATTAAAGCACAGCACCAAGAAGCTAAAACCACTTCCGCATGAGTTCGATTCCCGGCAGCCCTGGCGTGGCAGACCTCTCCTGAACCGCCCGCTGCTCCCCTCAGCAGTGTACTTCGTTGATCTGCCTGTTCTGCTCCCCACTCTGTATCTGGCGAAGCCTCTCGCTGCTCCTGAGCCTCTGGCCTGTACCCCAGTTCTGTATGCACAAATAAATAAATCTTTAAAAAAAATAAATTCTTTCCATTTTTTTTCTGTTCTACATTTTCTGTAATAAACAGACCTTTACAAATTCTGTCTTTAGAGCACACATTCTTCTTAATCTATCCTACATTTCTTGACAACTACAGTTCTGAAAAATTAAAATGAATGTTCAAAGGAAAAGCCTCAAGGATTTGCAATTTTAACTATTACTATTCTAACCAGGACAGCACACTTTAACGTTTTTCAATGATAATGAAAACAAAATGGTTCTGCTTAAAACTTCATGTAACCGCAAAATCTTATATGCTATCAACTAACCATATCAGGCTGATACATTCCCCAACTCATAAAAAGCATTCCTAACCTTTCATAACTCCTAAAACAAATCATTGAAGGTTTGTGAATTAGTACCTTTGTTCTTTTTTTCTCCTCTGCCAGATGCCACCAAGCTTGCTTACCATCCCCAGCCAACAGTAACTATAGATCATCATATTTTTGCAATAGGTAGTTCCCCCAAAATTACATTAAACAGTTGATTGGGCATCTGCTGACTTCTCTCACACTTGAACATATGGTTCTGGTGCCTAACCTACCCATTCCCTCTACAGAGATACCTTCTCTGACCAATCCCACAGTTCTCACCCTCTAAGAGCCTTATTTTATCTTCAGCAAAGCACTTGATATTCGAAGGGAATTTTCTTTTGTGTTTATGCACTTATTGTCCATCCCTCGCTGACAGTCTGTCCTCTCCCAGCACAGCAAGGACTTCTATAACATAGGTATTCGCGGGATGAATGGAGGACCCTTTGTCCTACTCTCTATCTTCCCCCAGCAAAATGAAAAGTGTTAGTTAAATGTTTTTGTGGGCCTAGGTGTCCAATGATTCATCAATGAACTTCACTTATGAGCCATGTGTTCCTAGATAAGTTACTTAATATCTCCACTTCATTATGACCACTGTTAATTGCTATTTTTTGAGTGATTACTTAGAGCCAGGTGCTGACTACAGAAAATCTCACTGAAACTTCCAACAGTGAGGCAGATATGATTCCACACATTTCACAGATGAGGCAGCTGAAGACCCTTCTCTGAGGTCACACAAGCAGTAGGGGAAGACTCTGGATCCTAATCAGGACTCTCATGGTGACCTACAACTCTACAATCAAAACACCAAGCAAAGCCAAGTGCTAAAGTCAGACTCACAAAACTGAATTACCAAAATAGAATGATCCAATCAAATTATATCTACAACTTTCTTCTGCTGCACACACCCACAAATCCACACAAATTTAAATTTTTTTTAAGATTTATTTATTTACATACAGAACTGGGGTACAGGCCAGAGGTGCAGGGCAGTGAGAGGATTCACCAGAGACGGAGTGGGAGCAGAACAGGCAGACTGACAAAGTACACTGCTGAGGGGAGCAGCAGGTGAGACAGGAGAGGTCTGCTGTGCCATGTAGGTTACCTCCGAGGCCAGGGATCGAACTCATACTGAAGCTGCTGCGGCTAGCTTGCAGTGCTGCATCCCAAATCACTGTGCCACAAAGCAGGGCCCCACACACATTTAAAAAGGGGTCATTCTGAACAGCTTTGGGGTTTTGTTTTGCTTTGTTTTAATAATCCTGAGAAGTGGGGAGAGAAGGCACAGCTCTTAAAATGTGTTTTCAAATGTTATGGGAAGTAAACCACAACATGGGCTGTTTCAAGACTAATTTAACATTGCTAAACTAATTCTGCGAAATCCCAAGCTGGTTTTTTCTCTCTTTTTTCTTTTCTCTTTAATATGAAAGGTTTAGGGGTTTGAATAGTTCTGACCCAGAAACAAAAGATGTTAAACTTTGGAGCTATTACCACAACTTCAAACTTCAGTAATTTAAGACTTCATAAAATGATGGTTTAGAAAGTCTATATGTGGAATTCAAATGAAAACTTCATGAGCAAAGCTTTCATTTAGATGCTCCCAAACTTGAATCTCTGAAAAAAATGTGCAGCCGGCCCATAATATGGAAACAATTATGAAAATTAAGACATTTGAAAACCACTCAAGCAGCTTTTATTTCTAGCTCTGTCTTGCCAAACAAGTTGCTGCTGGCCTTTAGGCCAACTTCAGTAACACTCTCGACTCTCACCTAGGAAGATTCGAGATACATTCCAACAAGATCTACTGATGCTAGCTTGTTTTCTCTTCCCGTAGCCCACAAACGTAGATTGGCCCTCTTCTCTCTGGAAACCCTGGTCCGAGGAGAGCTGCAGGTCTGGTTAGCTGGTACTCTAATGGCCAAAAAAGACACCTCTTCTGCATAAGCGATCATGTTAATAATTCATG